CAAAAAACACGCTTCTGTGTTTGCATTTTGGAGTATTAATACCAGACCCTCGTGAGGACACTGGGAGGGTTTTGAAGAAATCTAAAATTAATGCAGTACTGTACGAGTGAGTGCACGTGTGTGTGTGTGTGCGTGTGTGTGTGTGTAAGTGTTTGTGTTTTGGTATGTTTTATGATTAACTGTCTTCCCAACGGAATAGTAGCCTGTGTTGAATAAGGAATGCCTGTAGATCACGGAATGCCTGTAGATCACGGAATGCCTGTAGATCACGGAATGCCCCCTGGTTGGTAGTTTGTATAACACTTTTAATGACATTCTGAAGGGACCAGTAATCACTGTTTAATAAGTTAGAAAACTCTTGGCTTTTCTTTTCCACACTTGCCCAAATCAACACCAACCGTGAAGCATTTGTCCAGGCTTCGTTTATCTTTCAGCTGTGAGGAAGAATTCCTTTCTGTGTAAGGTACGCAGCATTCAAGGCAGTTAAGGGCCTGAGAGTTCGTGTCAGATAGCGGCAGTGAGATTCTGAAGACCCTTTGACCCTCAGCCCCGGGGGCGTGCACCAGAGTCTCTCCTTTTAAGTTGAGGTTTGATCCTTAAATTGCCCCAGAATTGTCCATTAGAGGAATTCAGCACTACTCAGAGTCCACCAGCTGCTCCTTGGGAACCACAAGGGGCAGTTCTGCTCTGTCTTACAGGGTCGCTGTGAGTTGGAATCGACTCGACAGCAACGGGTTTGGTTTTTCTCTTGTGGAAAACAGCAGTTCAGAGCTGCAGACGACAGCAGTTGCCTGTTGACTAGGAGCTGTGCCCCGGCTGCTTTAAACACACCTCTGCAACCCTACCCCACCTTTGGAAATTATTCCTTTAACGCGAGCATATTGACAGGGATGATAAATACCACCCGGGTTTCTTCCTTGCTTGGATCCCAGCCTTCTGACATCTCACTAAGGGGGTCGTAGGTAAAATGGATTAGAACCATGACAGTCTCATTCCTTTTTGAAGTAACATACTTTAATGATACTTTGCGTTTCTGGAGCTTGGGTCTCATTAAAAAGAGATTTTATTTTGGAAACAGCTTTAAGCCAAAGAATGATTTTTTTGAAAACTGTATAAAATCACACACACACACACACATCATCTGTCCAACTAGTTATAGTTTCAAAATTCCTATTCGATTTCTTATTATTGGGAAAAAATTTCCTTAATGGGCCAGAAGTTAAAAGTTTATTGGACTTTTTTCCCACGTAGGTAAAAGTCGCTAATAGTAAGTAGCCGTGAGTTTTCACAGTTTCTGGGCCTGTTGTCTTGCAGGCGCCCCCACCATGTTCCTGGAAGACCTCACTGATTTTATACTTTGCTTTATGAAAACCCTCAGGTTAGCCTGTGGCATTGCATTTCCTGTCAGTCTGGGAAAAAATACAGACTTTTAAGTAAAGGCAGTGGCACATTTCACATAGAATTATGCTATTCAAGAGTATAATTATACATTTTATAATTTTCAGTCAACAAAAACTAAGTGCTCAGACTTTCTTATTAAATTGATGACATTCATATGTTTTCATGGTTAAAGCTCAAGTCTGCTTCTTCCTTTCTCCTTGAAGTACACTGAGTTTTTTCTACATGCACTTTTGTAACATCTAATGAAATCTTTTTTAAATACACAGGTTACTTTGCATGATTTTTCAAACTTGCTCTATTTAAATTGAATTTGGCTGTATATAAATGGTGCTAACAGTACCTTAAACTCATGGTGAAATAGATTCCTTCAGGTAGTGATTTATTTACGATGTTTCAAAATGTAGAAATTTATATTTTAGTACCAAAAACCAAACCCATCGTCATCAAGTCCATTCTGACTCATAGCGACCCTATGGGACAGTGTAGAACTGCTCCATAGGGTCTCCAAGGCTGTAATCTGTACAGAAGCAGAGTGCCACATCTTTCTCCTGCGGGAGCGGCTGATGGGTTCTACCTGCTGACCTTCCCATTAGCAGCTGAGCGCTTTAACCACTGTGCCACCAGGGCTCCTTACATTTTAGTACAATGAATAATAAGTTTTTTACTAGTATCATAGAAGCACATTGGCCCCTTCAGGTTTAATTTGGATAGAGAAACTGCTAATGATTATATTTGGGAGTCAAGGAAAAAAAGCAATATGCATTTGCCCAGTGCTGTGTTTAATGAGGAAACCCTGGTGGTGTAGTGGTTAAGAGCTGTGGCTGCTAACCAAAAGATCAGCAGTTCGAATGCACCAGGCCCTCCTTGGAAACCCTATGGGGCAGTTCTACTCTGTCCTGTAGGGTCGCTATGAGTCAGAATTGACTCAATGGCAGTGGGTGGTGGTGGGTGTTTAATGAATGCTTTTGAAATGTTGAAAAAAGTAATTTTTGATTCTGTGTAGTTGTTAGGCTCTGACGCATAGCAACGCTTACCGACAGTGGATTCTATGGTAAACAGTCTTTTACTGATAAATTTAAGTTTGTAATTCGCTTTTTAATTTTGGTTAAATATATTTAGGTCTTTGGATTTTTTTTCCCCCTTCTCCAGGCATAGATAACAATAGCTTTGTCCTAACTGGTTATAGACTTAATTTTATCATTATAAAAGCAATGAAATATTTTATGGTGTTGATGTCCGAAGAATTTACCAGCAAGCACATTTTTATGTAATACTCTATGTCATGGAAAAAAGATTAAGAATACTGCAATCATAAAAGTTACAGTATTTGGAAAAATAAATGTATGCTTTTAGTCAAAATGAAGAAGAAATTATTGTATACACAGAAACCATTTTTCATAACGTGTTTTTATTTCTCTTCACTCTTCTAGACATTTGTAAGAAATGCCAGTCAGTGTTAACTGAAATTGTCCTTTGGTGTAGTTTTTCCAAGTTAGAACCCTTGTAATCTAATTTTTCTAAACTCTGATTGCCTGCTACTAAATACAACAGAAAGCACATTACTTGCTAGAAGAATCTGAGTCTCATTTGGCTACTGTTGCTTCAGCTAATTACCTTTTCCTACTTTACAAGCGGTACTGCAGATGTTGTCTCAACTCGTAATGAAAAGAAGCATGTCTTCCGAAGGGCAGAAGAGCGAGTTTTTAAATTATACCATCCAAAATCTGGTTGCCTTCCCCAAAGACTGTCTCTCTTCTTGGGTCATAGATGTAAAAGTAGGAGCTTTTCCGTTGCATTTGGACTGGTCTTTTTCGAGTATGTTTCAGTCCATCGGAGCAGGACTGTGACATCTACTAGGACATCACAAGGAATGACCAAGGGATAGCAGTTTCTTGGGATCACCTAGCAGCAGCTCACCTAGAAGCTTGCTCTTTCCAGGGTGCACCGCTGGGAGCCCTGTTCAGTTCTGACTTACTAGAGTGGGAACAATCTTAAGCCTTTCTTATTTTTTGATTGTTTCGTTTACCTGTTTATCAGCTTCCTTCCTGGTGCCAGACAACAAAGGGAAAGTTATTGGAATTTATCCTTAATGTGCTGTGGAACTCTAAGGGCAAAGTGTTAAAATGAAGCTAGGGCTTATTTTCCAGATTGAAGTCTGACTGTTGATGATGGTTGATAACTATTTTCTCTACATGCTTTTTGGTTTTGCTTTTTGATGTGAAGGGTGTCCTCTTATTAGTGATTTTACTTATACAAAAATGTTTCCTTTTTTCTCTAAATTGTATTTATTTTGTTGTTACTGAGAATATGCACAGCAAAACATACACCAATTCAGCAGTTTCTACATGTACGATTTAGTGACAATGATTATATTTTTTGTTGTGCAACCGTTCTCACCCTCCTTTTCTGAGTACCTCCCTCATTAACATGAACTCACTGCCCCTAAGTTTCCTATCTAATCTTTCAAGTTGCTGTTGTCAGTTTGATCCTGTATACATAAATCTTAAAAGAGCATAATGCTCAAAGAAGATCTTACTTACTAGTTAAGCTAAAATATTATTCAGTTTTAAGTGACTTCAGGGGATGTTTTTGGTTTAAGGTTTAAAGATTATCTCAGGGCAATAGTTTCAGGTGTTCATCTTTCCTCCATGGCTCCAGAAAGTCTAGAGTCCATGAGAATTTGAAGTTTTGTTCTGCATTTTCCCCCTTTTGATCAGGATTCTTCTGTAGAATCTTTGATCAAAATGTTCGGTAATGGTAGCCAGGCCTACCCAGTTCTGCTGGTCTCATGGCAGAGGAGGCAATTGTTGGTGGAGGCAATTAGCCACGTATTCTATTTCCTCCACCTATTCCTGATCCTCCTTCTTCCTCTGTTGCTCCAGAGCTTTTAAGACCCCAGGTGCTATGTAATGAACTAGGAGGTAGAACAGAAGCACTAAACACATTATTAGGCTGGTTAAGTGGTACGTCCCCTGAAACCATGACCCTAAACCTCCACATCAAGTCAGCTTTTTATAGGTGTACAACTACTGACAGCAGTTGCAGTAATTGGCTGTGCAGCCTTACCCTTAATATGATTTTTCCTTCACCATTAACCACCCTTTTCCCCTTCCTCATACCACTGGTAACCATTAATAAACTTTGGTCCCTATACATTTGCCTTTTCTTGTGTTCTTATGTAAGTGAGGTCATACAGTGTTTGTCCTTTTGTGATTGGCTTATTTCGCTCAGCATAATGTCTTCAAGCTCCGTCCATGCTGTAGCATGTATCAAGACTTCATTTCTCCTGCTGGCTGAGTAGTATTCCATTGTATGTATGCACCACATTTTGTTTATCCATCATCTGTTGATGGTCATTTACGTTGTTTCCACCTTTTGGCTATTGTGAATAGTGCTGCAGTGAACATTGGTGTACAAGTCTCTGTTTGAGTCTCTGCTTTCAGGTCTTTTGGATATATACCTAGGAGTGGAATTTGTTGGGTCATCTGGTAGTTATATTTTTCGTTTAAATGTTTTCTTTTTAAAATGGTTATAACGGACGTTTTGACCAAGATATGCTATTGTATGTCACATGAATTGATCATGTCTTCTTTTTCTAGGCAGCACAAATTGTGCTAATCTCTCTGTTTGAATTGAACACTCCTGAATTTACCATGTTACTTGGTGCCTTGCCAAAAACATTCCAGGATGGTGCCACCAAACTCCTCCATAACCACCTCAAGAATTCTAGTAACACCAGTGTGGTGAGTGCATTGGGTGACAGTTGGTGCCTCTGTGCTCAAATTGGGGCCTCTGCCTGTCCGTTACCTTGAACCTCCTCTCACAAAATTGCGTATTTCCTCGTTCTTTTCTAGTAGATTGTGAGCTTTTCCTCAGTGGTTGGGGTCATGCCTGATCCCAGTGTATCTCTAGCCACTCCATAAGCATATTATGAATGAGTAAATGAACTGGTATTTAAATATGGCCTTTTTCTTGGGTTAGGTTGTTGAATCTATTAAATTTTTAATTGGCCGTTTTATTAGTTATTTGTTCATTGATTGAGTTAGTCTTATTTTTTAACACTGCAAAATGCAAATGCCTGATTATGTCTGATACTCTAGCATAACCAACATCAGTCATTCAACTCCAGGAACACCCATAAGACAGTTGTACATTTACTGATTTATATGCACTCGAAATTGGCCTTATTATTCTGAGAAACAGTTGTGCAGCTTCTACCCATTTGTTTACACGTGAGTTAAAAGGCCAAGGGAAGAGTGGAGCTGTGTTCTAATACCGACCTTAAGTAATAGTGCTTGTTCTGCCTTTGCCTAGGGCTCTCCAAGCAATACGATTGGCCGGACTTCCTCCAGACACACCAGCAGCAGGACCAGCCCCCTGACCTCACCCACCAACTGTTCCCATGGGGGTCTGTCTCCAAGGTAAAGTCACTGCAACAGAAGTGAAGAAAACTAAGGCACCCTAGTGTCTGTGCAGCGTGTCTCTAGATTTAAGATCAAGCTTAATAACCAAAAAGTGTTGAGTCTCAGGAGACCACGGGCTCTGTCCTTACTCAGGTCTTAACTGTGTGGTCTTGGGCAAAGTGACTAACTTCTGTGGTAAAATGAGCAGTTTGTGCTAAATGTTCTCTGCGGCCCTTTCAGCTCTAAACACTCTCTAGTACTTTAGGTTTTAAGTACCCTAGTACTTAACAGATTTTAAACCTAAAATTTGTGTTTAGTGCTGCGTTACTTGGAATCCTTGTAGAAATCCGTCACCTGTTCTCTAAGTGATAGGAGGACCTGAAGGTATTTAGTCCTGCACGTAAACCCTTCAGAGTCGGTCTGCACCAAGTCTGGGTTAGTTTGCTAACCAAGAGGCCACTCCAAGCCTAGTTGCTTGTCATTATGAGCTCGTGTTTCACTCAGAATGCTGCTCTGAAGGACTGTGATTTAGAGCCTGACAGCTAAAGTTGGATCACCAGTTTGAGACTTGTGTTGGGACCCTACAAACATTGGCCTTACAGAACCAGTGCGGTGGCTTAAGAAGAGAAACAGCTGTGTCTAGAGGTCTTTAGATGGCACTTCTTCTGGCCAGAGCCTGCAGGAGTCTGCGCAGTGGCTTTAGCCACGCCTCCCATGCGCTGGAGTTAGTGTGGCCCTACTCACAGCAGAACCACTCTGGACCTCCAGCTCTTGGAGATCACTAACAACAAAAATCAGGAGGCTTTTGTCCTATGGGTTGCTTTTATCAGGATCTTAAAGTTAAAAGAAAATATTGCAAGTGTACCTTTTTTCCTTTAATATTAAGGGTTCCCTCTTTAGTAGGAAGATATCAATACTTAATTGCTTTAAATTTAGATTTTTAAAGTCTACCAGACTCCATCATTACCAGCTGAAGTTCTCTTCAGTTTCTCAAGTTAATCTGTAACTAGTTTGGAACATGTTAAATTTGCATATTTCCCTGGTGAAGCAGAGTATTTTATATACCTATAGTGCCTTGCTGTTTACATTATCTATGTCTAATCCCCCAAATGTATTTAGGTGTGATGGAGTACAATGTTCTGTCTCCACAGTTGGTCTGTGTTGTCAACGATTTCAACAAGATATACTATAATTAGGCAGTTGAGACCACAAACTTACTGGAAATATGTCTGACTTGTCCCAGGTATGACTGGGGTTCAGCCAGCTATTTGTTTAAAACTAACATCTATATTTAAGGTATATGGTTTTTCTTACATTACTAGGGTCCAGTGTTGACAGTAAAATCATTGCGTATTCTTTCCTGGTAGGGTGACTTATGGAAAACTTGTATTCCCTGTAAATTGTTGGCCTTTGTCTAGAAGCAATACTTTGGAACATTAATTGGGAAATCTGTTCTTTCATAATATGCAGTTCATACTTCTTTTAGCCATTTCATTATTAGGTGGCACATTGTTCAGGTAGGAAGCGGAAGGCAAACCTCAGATTAAGTATGTTATTGTGTATGCTGATAGTCTAAGTAAAACAGTGGTGGGGGCTGCTAGCATAATCCATCAGCGCTAAGAATCAGCTCGGTATTAATCTTATGGATCCCCAAATCATTAAAATTTAAATTTATTTTTACAAGTCACCATTTCTTCTAAATTGGCCTGACCTCAGTTTTTACTGTTAGGGCTATAGGTCAGTAGAAGAAATGAATTAAAGATTCATTCAATATTAAAAAGTCCGTGTGTGCTCTGGAGCCCTGATGGTGCAGTGGTTAAGAGCTCGGCTGCTAACCAAAAGGTCAGCAGTTTGAATCCACCAGCCACTCCTTGGAAGCCCCGTGGGGCAGTTCTACTCTGTCCTGTAGGGTCACTATGAGTCGGAATCGACTTGGCGGCAGTGGGTTTGGTTTTTTGGTTTTAAGTGTCGTCTGAATATCGTGAACAGATTCTTCTTTAGGAAGTTATTTAGTTATGTAGTTTCTTTTTTTTTTTCCTTATTAATTTGCTGTCGTTCAGTGCATAAATAGCCAGATGGTCTTAACCAACTTGAGCTCAACAGGAGAAATAATTTTTCTTACTACTAAAATTGTCCTTCACTGGGAAAAACTGCCTCATGTTGTCGTGTCCCTGGAAATAATCAAATAGGCTACATACTTTGTACAGGAAATTTATGAAAGAAATGAATTCCTGCACTAAATAGAAGAATGGCTGGATGACCACATTCTAGGAGGTGATGAGCAAGTCCCTACAGTGTATAATCTCTGCTGCTTTTCTGAGCAGTGCTCTTAAAAGTTTCATTTTCTCTGATCTTGTCATTCTTCTGGATGATCTTGACCATATGATGTTAGCTTTTCATCCTTCAGACAAGAAGTTACCACCTGTTATTTGTCTTTAATTTTGAGCATCAGAATGAACTTTTTTTTTTTTTTTTGCCCAAAAATTCTACATTCAGATCATGGTGATAATAAGGAAGTATTCTAAAATGAAGAACAACTCTAATTTGATAGTTTTTTTAGAATATCACTAGTCAGGAAGTCATTTTTATTGACCCAGCAATGTTAGAGAAGCTATAGATAACAGGTTCAGCTTTGTAAAAGAGTCCATCAATTATTGTTTCTGTGTGAGGGAAGAATTACTGCTTTTTATCAGCTAATAAATACTCCTTGGTACTTGGAGAGATTTATGACATGGGATTTTTCATCATTAAACACGTATTTATATTTTAGCTTATCTTACCTAGTGTGATCTTATGGTAAATGGAAAGCAGAGTAGACAAAGACCAGAAAGCATCTGAGGTCCATTCTCTTTAAAAAAGTATACGCAGTTCTTGCTCTGGTCTGCCGTATGTTCTTGGCAAACATGTCAAGAGCAGAAAGTCACTGGATAATCTCTGTGTCCCCTAACAATAAAAATAATTGCAGGTGGGTTTTACGTTTTGTCCACTTGAGGACCAACAGTATCCCCAGAGTCAGAGTGAGATTGACTGTGAGGAGGTGCTGAGGCATCTGCTTTGTCCTCTGCCCTTTGCAGAGCTCCTGCCTGTGGTGGTCACCCGTGTTCTTCTTGGACCTCCACCCCGACTCCATGTGTGACTTAGAGAAGGTCTTTAGGCCCTTCCGTTCCTCAGTGCCCTGTCGGTTGCACACCTTAATTTCCTTACAAAATGGAGGCCATAACTGTCCTCAGGGAGACCAGCTCCAGACCCACCACAGGAAAGGACGTATGCTCTTAGAACTATGAGAAGTACCAGTCACTAGCAGGGCTGACGGTAGAAACATTATCTCTGACGTCATGATCTCGGCCCTGGGGCCGCACATCACCATTCCCGCCAGTTCAGTACCCCTTTCTCCAGTCTCTCTGGGCTCAGTTCTTTCGAATTGCAAACAGTTGTTAGAACTTCCTGTCATGGCCTCTGCAAGCCCAGGTCACCTAGTGACATTTGTGGACTGAAGAGGGATGCCTTCATTTTGTATAGAATTTTAATTCTCATATTTGGTGATAGGAGCAGAGGAATCGATTTGTTGGTGCTCCCACTCTGAGCTGTCCAGCTGAGACTTAACATCCTAGGCCTCTAGTGGGTTGTGCTGTTATTCTTTCAGGAGGAACGGCTGTGTCAGCCTCTGAACGCCGTGATTGGATTCCAGCTGTGTAGCACACACAGGCCCATGCCTGAGTGCTCTAGTCAGAATAGCACGTTTTCTGTAGCTTTCCCTGTTGTACTACCTCTGGCCACTTCTCAGTTAAGCCCCCATAATTCTTTCTTTGGTTCTTCCTAAAACAATTGCTGGGTTATCTGAAACAATACCCATATTTTCTTGTGTGTAAGTGCTTATAATGTCCTCTCAAACACACATACACTTGGAATCTCCTGTGATTTTAAAAACTGAAAACATCCTGTGGTTGGGAGGGGAAAGACTAAAACAGTCTCACTGAGGACCAAACTGTGAAACGGAATTTGTTCATTTTCTCTGCATGGTGACGTAGTCCATTTGAATCTGATAGATTTTGCTAGAACTTTGTCAAGGAAGGAGGAGGCCCTGAGACACTTGGAGTGCAGGGTCTTCTCCCCTCCCCTCCCCTTCGCCTTTTCTGTTTCCCTTTTGCTGACTTTTGTCTTCTCATCACTGCAGTCGGTTGTGGGGCTGGAGTGCCGACGGGCTGTCGAAGCACCCACCTCCCTTTTCTCAGCCTAACTCAGTCCCCACCGCTCCTTCCCACAAGACTCTCAGGTGCTCTTACTCTCCCAGGTAACACGCTACCTGTTACACTTGTCTGAGGTGTCACAATATTATTGCGTTTCCAAGGTCGTCTCAAGCCTTTCGAAAAGCCTCTTAGCTGCCTCCACTGAGCCCTGCCTGGCTTAGACCAGCAGGAGTAGAGCCCTGGTGGGAAGGTGGGCAGGACTTTGTGAGTCTCCCGAGTATCAGAGCAGAAGGTGACTCTGTCTCCAACGGATCAGGATCCATCAGTTCCTGCTGTTGCAGACTCTTCAGCCCCCCGCAGTCGCTTAGGGAACACTTACTGACTGTTGACCTGCGAGATCAAGGCAGGCAACAGGGGCACCACTTCCAAGCCTTCTTCTCAGGCACACGAGGCGTTCCCACTGCAGAGCAAGCGAGACCTGCCCTTTCCCAGACGGCACGCATGGCTCTCAGTCCTGCTGTGACGTGTGTGGACTGAGTTCTTTCGTCATGTGGTCATGTCAGAGAGCACAGACCCAGAAAGAAAGCTCTGAGAGCTACGTTCCTTGTTGCCTCTCTCCAAAGGTGCCCCGCCTCTGGACAGGAGAGCCATCAGTATCCTCTCAAGTCACCATCGAGGTGCCGAGTGAAGCTCACCGCCGCTGGTCGAATATGACTAAGCTATGAGTCTATAAGGAGGGGTGGGGCTTCCCTCAGCTGTTTAGACGGGTGGTAAATCTGTGGTGCAGAGAAGGTTCCATGTAGATACCCAGTTGAGGGCCTGCTGAGCGCTCTTGCTCGAGGTCCAAAGCCCGGAGAACCCGTGTTCATGTAAGCATAGCCCGGGCAGTATCAGTCATTGGGCTCGGCAAGGTGAGCGCACATGCTCTGACAGGACACGGGTGAATAAAGTCTGTGACTTGCGAAATGCTTCCTAGATGACCTGTGCGTAGGAGGTCTGCCTTCTTTTTTGTATCCTCACCATAGCAAAGCTGTACATGGTAAACCAGTCAGCTGAATATTCAGCAACATCTTTCTCTGGAAGCCCTTACAGCTCTCAAGTTGTCCAGAGAATCCTAAAGTCTGCAGAGACTCCTAGAATGATGTGTCTACAGAGAGTCTCAGGGCAAGCAGACAGTGGGTCACTGCTGTCTGGGATGCTGGTAAACCATGTCACCACCTTTTCATTTTTAAAGGTTAGCAGTACCTCAGGCCATAAGCTCAGTTTAGCTGTCTGCCGGTATACTGGCTTGTATGCCCTCAGGGACACTGAGCTTACCCTGGCGAGTCTTCCCACTCAGCAGCAAGACTGACCCTCCAGAGGACATGTCGTTACTAGAATCATCTGTCAGATGTGCTCACACTTGTATTTGTTGATCTAACTTATCTACTAGACAATGTGTAATAAATACTTGTAGCTTCTATTAACCGTAGGAGGGAGAGCCGACTCGATATTTTTGAATTTAGAAAAGCTATCAGTTGCATGAAGCTAAGAGGAACTCCACGTCTGTCTCTTGACTGTGCCCAAATCCTGACTTCGTAACAGGCAACAATTACTCTCTACCTAGTATCTCTCCCCTACGAAGTGGCAAAGAAGGAACCTCGGAAGGCACACGCCCACCCTAGTTTCCCTTTTTCTGGAGAGCTGACCCCATACGCAGCTGTACCCGTGATACGGAGCCTTTCCCAGGCAGGCCGGGGCTTTGCTCTGCTTCTGTTGGTGACGTGACCTGACCTTCAGTCAGCAAGTATTCACAAATTGATTAACTCCTCCTGATCTAATGAGCCCTAAGGAAGCCCTTCTGGAGTCTTATCAAAGTATTTACAAGTGACCAGGCTGTGGCCTTTAACCCAGAAGATGATATCCTGGCTTGTCTCGCAGCTGAAACAAGACAGACTGCTGGGCTTATCTCAGTGCATCTCCTCTGAGTAAGGCTGCTGGGTTCCTCTTGCCTGCTCTTCCGCATGGTTTGTCAGGACACCATCACCTACGACTCCCTGAAAAGCGAGGGTTCTATAGGTGTTGATTCGAACAAAGGACAGATCAAGCCAAAGCATAAGAAGAGCAGCATTGTCTGTTTCCTGTTAGAGGGAACCATGGTTGCTCACAGTGTTAGCTTCGTACCAAGGAAATAGTTCAGACCTCCAGCCAGGTAGCCCAAAAGAAGTGGCACCATATCACCACAGTTGGTGCTGGGTGTGCACACAACACTCCTGAAGTGGGAGTTGGGGTTGGTGTATTCATCGGAAGTAGTAACACGCAGAATACTTTATTTTCTCACTTTGAAAAGAGGCTTCCGTAATGGTAAACTTATGCAAACCAAAATGGAATATTTTAAGAATGTTCAGGTTAAGAATAACGAGACGAATTATCTGAGTGCTACCATCTGCTGAAGCGACGTATGGAAAATAATATTGTGACATCCCTTCAAAAGCTGAGCATTCTGCCAGACCTACTCTCGTCCATTCTGTCATTCTTCCAGTTTGTTGTTTTTGTTTTTGCATGGGCTATGCTATTATTTTTGTTGTTATGATTAAAAGTATTTTAAGGCATTTTTTAACGTCTTGTATATACTATTTTTTTTGTTTGAGCCATACTCAGTCTTTACACATAAACAGTAGTGTGCTGGCCAGATGTATAAATGCGTTTGTTCAGACATAAAGCTAGTATTGTGGTGTTTTCAGAGAAGAGGACAAGGACCCCTTGCTTTCTTCACATTAAAGGGATGTTGCCTCTGGATCACCTCACAGACAGACAGCCTTGGGAACTCAGAGGAGACTGAAGTCTTGAATTGTGTTCAGGTTTTCTTGTCCACCTCCTGTCAGTCTGTACACGGACTTTCAGCTGTGAACGTGCTCAAGGTTTGCATTTCTTTTCATTTATTGGCAGAGCCAACCTTTGAGTTGGTGTGTGTATTTGTGAACTCTCCAAGTACAGTTGGGGTGTGTATTTCCTTTCTTTCATCAGGAAAGAAAAACGGGTTTTACCTGGGCCATTTTTGCAGTTTTAGGCAACTAGCTTCCATCTCTGGAGCATGAGTTCAGATCTTATGCTCCAGTAGAACCTAACTGCCTTGGAAACTCCTAGATCATTACAGCCTCAAGCCTCTAGAAGTCTGGCTTTGTCAGGTGGGACCTGTCCACATCTTGCTGGCTGTGCTGTCCAAGCCTTTAAAGGGGGAAAGGGGTAGGAAGTGTTATTTGTTTTAAGAACAGGAAGCTTACCTCTTCTTCCTACAGGGTTGATGGTGTTGCCTTTAGGAAAGGGCTCCCGCCAGTGAGTGCCTAGTTCTTCGGTGTTTTCTCTTTGGAAGAGCAGAGAAATGGCTTCTCTCTGGTCCTCAGTAATGTCCCATGCTTACTGTTTACAGCCAGGGCTCCCTGGAGTGTCCCTGGCCGCCCCCAGGAGAACTGTGGCTTTCTGCTCTCTTCTTGAGGACTTTCTCGAAACAAGTGATATTTAAGCTCGGTCACGTTGTTCGGACTTGCCTTTGCTCGACTCTCACTTCAGGTGTTGCCCCCCGTTTACTGGTGTGTCTGCCCCGTGCTTTTCTCTGCTCTTCCCCACGAGGGGCAGCAACGGTGGTTCTGTTCTTAGGGTTCTCTGTTGGTTTCAGTGCCCTTCTCACAGCCACTTGTTGGCACACTGGTTGCACCAAGATACAGATGAGGGTTTTTGCTTCATTTTGTGTTTTGCTTTGCTAAACATCTGAAAGGACAGCAATTGACATGACTTTCCCTTGAGGGATAAGTATTTCTTCCTTCCTGAAGTGTTTTCAAACATCCATCCAGGAGCATGACACATCTCTGTGGGACCTGCTTTTATTGTAAAACTTCACATGGAAGCATCTAGAAGAGTCTGGTATGTTCGGGAAGCTCTCCTGGGTTAGAGGACATAGAGTTAGGAACCCATTGGTAGGCTAGCTCTGACTGAGTCATGGGGTTTTATTTGATAAGTTTCTGTTCCTGGTAAGTGAGCATTGCCTGCCAACCCAGTCTTGGGAGGTCTTTGGCCTTGTTCCTCGGAGGTTTGTTTGTAATACTAGCTTTATTTTGAAGTGCCCATTCCTCTTAATTTGAGTTTGTACATTTGAGACCAGTAACAATCACACTACTTTTTTCCATCTTCAAGATACGAAAGTTATTTTTCCACTTTCATAACCTCGTGCATTCCGTCACTAATTGTCACTCCTGAGTTCTTGCGTTCTTGTGGTGATTGTTGTTTCCCACTGGTTTCTTAGTGAGTGATGATGTCGTGTGTTCGGGGCCAGATTCTCCAGGGAAGGGGTGTCATTGTCTGATAGTGGTGCACCAAGAAAAGATGTCCCCTTTTTATTCCAAGTCACCGAAAGACACAGAACTATGTATCTTACTCTGTGAATTACTAGAGGTAATTTATGCCCATACGTCAGGGTAAAGAATGAAATATTTTTTATGTTTAGCATGCTGGACTATGATACAGAGAACCTGAACTCTGAAGAAATCTACAGCTCTCTGCGTGGAGTTACAGAAGCCATTGAAAAGTTTAGTTTTCGAAGCCAAGAAGATCTGAATGAGCCAATCAAACGAGAAGGGAAGAAAGACTGTGATATTGTAAGTGTCCCCAGGCTACTAGAGAACTCTGGGTATCAGTTAAATGACGATTACAGAGTCTGACTACTGTGGTCACTGATTACTGAGCTTCATCGTTATCTGTATCCTGTAGTTAGAATAGTATTATTTTAAGAGGCCCAATGCAATTTTATGAAATTTCAAAAGCGTCACCCTGAGCTGTCTTGTGAGGAGGGTTAAATACTTTTTTCTCAGTTGGTTTTCCTTTTGGTTTATGACGTGATAAAAATGGTAAGCCTGAAGCACGCAAGACCATGATTCTCTAGGAGGCCAGTCTGGTGGGAGAGGTGGGCAAACTAGCAGGCATTTGTGGGCAGTGGGTGTGGTCAGGCTCGAGTGACAGTAGATACATGGTTCTGGGGGTACCCAGGAGTCCTGCTAGCCATCCGTGACGCTCGGGAAGAATCTTCACAAGAGATGACTCCACTTCTGAACTGAAGGAGCTCTCTCACACCTTGAGAATTGCCACCCAATGTGTGAACATTGTCTTTGGGATATTGGAGAGTCTTGGAAGGCTTTTTAAGCAGGAAAGTGGTGTGGCCACACATACCATTGTAGAAGGATTGCTCTCACTCTGGAGTGGAGAATGACTCCGGAAGAAGTAGGGGAGGCGGTGTAGAACACGAGCAGGAGAGTTAGGAGTCTCTGACCAGAACTGTAGGGTAGTAGTTGGTGTGATTCAAGGAGATAATATCATAGAAGGAGAGAGAAGTGCATGTGAACCCCTTTGGAACATGAGGAATTCAGTTTTTAATACGTGTGAATTACAGAACCCGTGGAATATGCAAGCACCTGTATCCATTAGATCTGGAGTTGAGGCCAACTGTTTGAGTTGGACGTAGAGATTTCAGAGGCATCAGCGAGTTTGCTGGTGGTAACTGAGGAGGAGTGAGTGAGAGCAGCCAGGTGAAGGGTGAGGACAGAATCCTGAGGAACATCAGCACCAGGGGAAAGAGAGATGACAGAGCGGAAACCAGGATAGTGCGGTGTCACAGAAGTTAGGGGGAAACAGTGTTTCCGGACGGACAGTCTAGCCAGACGGGCCGTGCGGCAGTGGGGTAGCAGGTAGCTAGAGAGTAAAAAGGGCTCTGTTGGATTTTTTTATTACCCACATTGAGTTTTCTATTTGTACCTAAAATATGTAAAATACACATCTCTTTGCCAGTGTTTTGATGCATAGCCAAACCCTTCCCTTTGCGAACGGGCCCACTGTTTGGAGTTCTACGTTTTTCTTCTTAAATAAACTCCACACAGAGGCACTGTCGACAGTTCCCTAGTTATGTTTCTTCCAGAGGCCCATTGGATTTTGAGAGCAATTCAGTGGAGAGCAGAGAGTGGGAGCTCAGTCACAGTAGCTTGAGGAGTGATTCAGGTGAGAAACTGAGGGGCGGTGATGGTCGTTCAGGGGACTTCTCAAATGGGGAGGTCTGAACCTGTTCAAAGGAAAGTGTTGCGTATGCGACGGGGCGGGGGGTGGAGAACACAGGTCCTTAGGGATGTGGGAGGGGATGAATTTGGGCACAGGTGGAATGATTGGCCTTAGCCAGGTAGGTGTGGGGACAGAAAGTTGAGGGAGTTCCCACTGACAGCCCCTGCTTTTTCTCTGGGCATAAGATGTGGATGCTTTTCCCCGTCAGTATTATTCTACGTGATTTTTTTATGTCTGTGATAATTCCTCAGATGGACGTATCGTAATCAGGTGCCTAGTGCCCTATTTTTTTAAGATGTAGGTGGTTTCCAGTTTTTCAGTTTATAAAAAACTGCGGAAAGTCGAAAGGAGTGAAGTTCGATAGGGAGACAGCCGTGGGAGCAAGGCAGGAGAAACCTCCGAGTTACCCTGGGACAGGCAGAGCGAAGGGCGGGCTGTGCCTGCGGCTGCAGGAGAGAAGGCGGGGTCAGGAGGTGGTCCCTGGAAATGTGATGTTTGGGGGGGCCGGGCCTGCTTGAGGATAGAAGGCAGGGTCAGGAGGTGGTCCCTGGAAATGTGATGTTTGGGGGGGGCGGGCCTGCTTGAGGATAGAAGGCGGGGTC